ATCAGGGCTGTCTTTAACACAGGGCAAAAGGGGCAGCTGCCCAGGGCCCAGTCATTGTTGTGGGGCCCACAGCAGCTGCCGCTTGAGCAGGTCATGTACTGCAATACTCCTACCACTGGCCCTGCATCTCAGCACTGACAGCAGAGCGCTGAATGATTGCAGAGCGGAGAGAAGAGCTGGGTGGATGCCCTCCCCTTTCATGCCATGTGTGTGCGCTGGAGGAGGCGGTTTTGCTATTACCTGGACCCCGATGGTCACTGGCCTTTTCACCTGGATAGGGGAGAGGGAACCTGATGGGTGAGGGGACTACAGCCTGAATCAGGGCAGCAGGAACGGTGGGTGTCTGATGGGGAGGCCCTGCGTGTCTGTACTGGCTGCTGAATATGTGGGAATTAGGGAACACTCAATGTCCAGAGAGAGGGGTCACTATAGTGCTTGTCTGTATATGATGGGGGTCACTACATGCTGCTTGTCTGTATGTGATGGGGGTCACTATGGTGCTTGTCTGTATGTGATGGGGTCACTACATGCTTTCCATGTACATATGATGGGGGACACTGCACGCTAGTCAGTACTAGAGTAAGGCTGCAGAGACAGTCATCTGAGGGCGCCGGGGGAGAGGGGGTGAAATATACACCTTCACCTGTGTACACAATAATCCTTGCACCGGCCCTACCCTTGAGCCCGCAAAAGATACACCCGCGCCACTCTTCCGTTTACTGTGCAATCGATATTGCATAGTGTTGCTCAGCCCCTGTTGTATAGGCATATGCATGGGCGAAATTGAATGGCGGGGGCGGGTAGGGGGTGTATAGAAGTGGGGGGGGGACAAATCCCCCCCATTGTCATACCAAGGCTTGCCCATATAAACTGATTGTTTTAGTACTCTGGCATTGCTTGAAGATGACATGGAGATAGCTTGGATTGGGGGAGCAGAGGATCGAGCAGGGCCCGCAGCAGATGCAAGTGAAAATTGTCCCCTTCGGCCGTCTCTGCCTTGGACCTTCCAGGAACCACGCTACTCTTCTCCAAAAGCAGGTGTGGGCCCTGGCGCATAAATAAGCCAGCCGAGCCCTCAAGGCAAGGCAAGACAAGGCCATGCCCAAAGAAGGCCTGTGCTATAAGTTAGTTTCAAGGAAGGGCAACCCAAATTTTGCATTGAGGCCAGTGAATTTGTGGCTGCCCTAGTGCCTAGAATTCCAGTGAACACACAGGCTCGCAGATGGATGACGATGATTGTATTTAATTGCAGGCAGTGTACAGAATGAAGAAGAGATGCATATCCTGAAAACGGCCGAAGAAAACATCGGTAAGAATGTCATTTTATATGATTTTTTTTAGACTTTGCTGGTTCTATGCGGAAGTGTCTCAGGTTAGTAATAATAAACAACTATGGAACAACCACCTCCTTATCAGCTATTGAAGATATACTCTGGTCAGAAGTAAAAAAATAAGCCTTGTGACGGCTACAGGGAACTACCCGACCTGTATACGGCTGTTCATTCCGCCATTACTGTACTGACCCTACAAACTGGCGATCTGGGAACCCCCAGCTTGGGATAGCTAAGAGTAATTCCCAGACACGCCCACCTCAGGCTCCTTTTTCAATCTTAAAAAAAAGATTAGAAAAAGGCACTTCAAGTTTCTCCCCCTCCCCAAACAGGCGTGCACCCACCCCGAAGGCTTCAATGAGAGTCAGGAAGCAGAGAGGGAAGACGTTACCCCAGGAAGTTGCTTTCCCGGTCACCCTGTGAGGTGCCCTCTGAATTCTGTCTGCGGTGGTTACACAGTGTTTGCACAGTGTGATTTCTGATTTCCAATGTGATATTTGTTGGGGAGAAGTAATTAATAAGCAGACAAGTTATTTATTTTGAGTTGATAAATATATCTGAATGTCCTGTAGGAAGATGAGGGTTTCCTGGAGCTGAAAGGGTTATTATACTGTAAAAACATAGACAGCGCTGTGTGACCTCTGAACTTGGCGGTAAGGGGCCTCCACCTTCTTCTTCTGCCTCCGATATTTACTTTGTGTTCTTCCTCCAGGAAACAATCAGCAGAACCATGAAGTAGAATACACCGAGGCCGACAGTCCAGCACCCGATCCCAATCACGGTGAGAGTCATTTCCCTTTATTAACAGACTTCTGAGTGATCCAATTGGGGCCACCAATGTCAATCATCTCACAGAAATCAGTTACTGCTTTATATACTGGAAATAAGAATGTTCCTCTGTACATGGACCAGTCCATGGTATATGGAAAATAGGGGGATAACATGACCTGGCTATATGACTCCTCTATTGTATACTGCACATGGACCAGTCCATGGTATATGGAAAATAGGGGGATAACATGACCTCGACTTATGGCTCCTCTATTGTATACTGCACATGGACCAGTTCATGGTATATGGAAAATAGGGGGATAACATGACCTGGCTATATGACTCCTCTATTGTATACTGCACATGGACCAGTCCATGGTATATGGAAAATAGGGGGATAACATGACCTCGACTTATGGCTCCTCCATTGTATATTGCACAAGGCCTGTTCCATTGTATACTGAATATGGAGCGACTGCATGGTCTAGATATATGGCTCCTCCATTGTACATTGCACATGGCCTGTTCCATTGTATACTGAATATGGAGGGACTGCATGGTCTTGATATATGGCTCCCCCATTGTACATTGCACATGGTCTGTTCCATTGTCTATTGAACATGGGGGAATACATGGTCTTGATCTATGGCTCCCCCATTGTATACTGCATGTGGTCTGTTCTGTTGTATACTGACTATAAGGGGACTGCATGGTCTTGATATTTGGCACCCACCATTGTATTCTGCACTTGGTCTGTTCCATTGTATACTGAAAGTGGGGGAACTACATGGTCTGTATATACAGTATATGGCTCCCTCATTGTATACTGCATTTAGTCTTGTCCATTGTATACTGTACAATACTATACTATATTGTGGGACTGCATGGTTTGGATATGTAGCTCCCTTTTTGTATACTGCACATGATTCGTTCCATTATATATTGCATATGGGGGACTACATGATATGGATAACGAGATCCCTCAATGTATTCTGTGCATGGTCTTTTTTATTATATGCTGAATATGGGGGGACTGCATGGCCTTGATATTTGGCACCCCACATTGTATTCTGCACTTGGTCTGTTCCATTGTATATTGAAAGTGGGGGGACTACATGGTCTGTATATACAGTATGTGGCTCCCTCATTGTATACTGCATTTAGTCTTGTCCATTGTATACTGTACAATACTATACTATATTGTGGGACTGCATGGTTTGGATATGTAGCTCCCTTTTTGTATACTGCACATGATTCGTTCCATTATATATTACATATGGGGGACTACATGATATGGATAACGAGATCCCTCAATGTATTCTGTGCATGGTCTTTTTTATTATATGCTGAATATGGGGGGACTGCATGGCCTTGATATTTGGCACCCCACATTGTATTCTGCACTTGGTCTGTTCCATTGTATATTGAAAGTGGGGGGACTACATGGTCTGTATATACAGTATGTGGCTCCCCCATTGTATACTGCATTTAGTCCATTGTATACTGAATATTATGGGACTGCATGGTTTGGATATGTAGGTTCCTTTTTGTATACTGCACATGGTTCGTTTCATTATATATTACATATGGGGGACTACAAGGTCTGGATAATGAGATTCCTCAATGTATTCTGTGCATGGTCTATTCCATTATATGCTGAATATGGGGGGACTGCATGCCGTGGATATAGAGTTCCACCACTGTATACTGGCCATAGTCTACTCCATTATATGCTGAATATGGGGGGACTGCATGCTGTGGATATAGAGTTCCACCACTGTATACTAGCCATAGTCTATTCCATTATATGCTGAATATGGGGGGACTGCATGCTGTGGATATAGAGTTCCACCACTGTATACTGGCCATAGTCTACTCCATTATATGGGGGGACTGCATGCTGTGGATATATGTGAGAGACTCATTACATGCGAGAGACTCATTACATGCAAAGCAAGATAATTCAAGCCGTGATTTGTCATCATTGTGATGATTATGGCTTACAGCTCATGAAAACCCCAAGAACCCCAAATCCACAACCTCAGAAAAGTAGAATATTACATGCAATCAATAAAACAAGGATTGTACATAGAACAATATCGGACCTCTGAGAAGTACAAGCATGCATATGTACTCAGTACTTGGTTTGGGCCCCTTTTGCAGCACTTACTGCAATTACTTTTGCACGATATTCTAATTATTCGAGTTTCACCTGTATAAATTCCCCCCTGTATACTGCACATGGTCTGTCCCATGACATGTTCCATTAATGGGGGTATTACATGGCCTGGGGATTACCATGCTGAATCACACCCTGGATACGGACATTGTCCTTGTTATTTTGATTGTATACAGGACAATGGGCTGATGTTGCAATGGACACTAGAAGTGTTTCATTATATGTTGGACAAGAAGCGATCACATTTTGTACTGGACACCGGGTTATTATATACAGAACATAGAGCTGTTGTATTCTATTCTACTTATTGGGCTTTCATTGTTTATGGAATGTGAGAGCCATGTCTTGTATTCCAGACCCAGGGAGCTTCATTACACGGGTCACGGAAGTCCATTGTTTATTGGAAATGTTTGTCTTGGTCCCGGCAGTAGATGGGCGGGGAACTATTGTAATTATGAGCCTCAGATGTCGCTTTGTTTCCTTGTGTAGCGGATAAAGATCTGTTTTACACCGAGCACTCTTAATGAAGGTTATGGGGTTTTAGTTGTAAGTTGAACGTAGATATGGTGCTTGGTGTACTGGCCTGGTCTAGAAATGGAAACCCTGCGACTGTGGCCAATTTTAGCACACGCGGAAAAAAGATTCCCACTTCCTGTTCTGGACGTCGCCCATCAAAAAGATGGGAAGTCTAAAAAAATGAGCATAAAAAGCAGCAATAGAAATTTTCTGGAGTTTCTCTCTCTCAGGGGTGCCCACAATTTTGGTGTTAAGATCTACTTTTCAATTGACGAGCTACATAAGATCTACCAATGCAAAAAAAAACTCCATCGTGCTCCTTCTCTCTTGCTCTCCTGGCTGTCTCTCCTTGCTCTCTCTCCTGGCTGTCTCTCCTTGCTCTGTCTCCTGGCTGTCTCTCCTCTCTCTCTCTCCTGGCTGTCTCTCCTTGCTCTCTCTCCTGGCTGTCTCTCCTTGCTCTCTCTCCTGGCTGTCTCTCCTCGCTCTCTCTCCTGGCTGTCTCTCCTCGCTCTCTCTCCTGGCTGTCTCTCCTTGCTCTCTCTCCTGGCTGTCTCTCCTTGCTTTCTCTCCTGGCTTTCTCCCCTTGCTCTCTCCCCTGGCTGTCTCTCCTTGCTCATCCTCCTGGCTGTCGCTCCTCGCTCTCTCTCTCTCCTGGCTGTCTCTCCTTGCTCTCTCTCCTGGCTGTCTCCCCTTGCTTTCTCTCATGGCTGTCTCTCCTTGCTCTCTCCCCTGGCTCTCTCCCCTGGCTGTCTCTCCTTGCTCTCTCTCCTGGCTCTCTCCCCTTGCTTTCTCTCATGGCTGTCTCTCCTTGCTCTCTCCCCTGGCTCTCTCCCCTGGCTGTCTCTCCTTGCTCTCTCTCCTGGCTCTCTCCCCTTGCTTTCTCTCATGGCTGTCTCTCCTTGCTCTCTCCCCTGGCTCTCTCCCCTGGCTGTCTCTCCTTGCTCTCTCTCCTGGCTGTCTCTCCTTGCTCTCTCTCCTGGCTGTCTCTCCTTGCTCTCTCTCCTGGCTGTCTCTCCTTGCTTTCTCTCCTGGCTTTCTCCCCTTGCTCTCTCCCCTGGCTGTCTCTCCTTGCTCATCCTCCTGGCTGTCTCTCCTTGCTCATCCTCCTTGCTCACTCTCCTTGCTCATCCTCCTGACTGTCTCTCCTCGCTCTCCTGGCTGTCTCTCCTTGCTCATCCTCCTGGCTGACTCTCTTTGCTCATCCTCCTGGCTGACTCTCTTTGCTCATCCTCCTGACTGACTCTCCTTGCTCATCCTCCTGACTGACTCTCCTTGCTCATCCTCCTGGCTGTATCTCCTTGCTCATCCTCCTGGCTGACTCTCCTTGCTCATCCTCCTGGCTGACTCTCCTTGCTCATCCTCCTGGCTGACTCTCCTTGCTCATCCTCCTGGCTGTCTCTCCTTGCTCATCCTCCTGGCTGTCTCTCTTTGCTCATCCTCCTGGCTGTCTCTCCTTGCTCATCCTCCTGGCTCACTCTCCTTGCTCATCCTCCTGGCTGTCTCTCCTCGCTCTCCTGGCTGTCTCTCCTTGCTCATCCTCCTGGCTGACTCTCTTTGCTCATCCTCCTGGCTGTCTCTCCTCGCTCTCTCTAAAGTCGCTGCTCTGCAATATTACAGAACCCCCGGGAAGCTAGACCTCATACTTCTCCTCCTTTCGTGCTCAGCCCTCCATCCTAAAGTCGCTGCTCTCATTCTGTCGGCCTTCATGTGTCAGACGCAGCAGACGGGGAGGAGCTAAACAGACCATAGGGGGGTTCTCGGGATGGTGAGCCGACTTACAATCGTGATCTACCATCAGCTTCGTGAGCTTCTGGTAGATCACCATCTACCTAATGGGCACCCCTGGTCTAACCCTTCATGACAGAACTAAAGACTATAGCGACTTGGACTTGGCGGTAGTGAAGTATGGGTTGGAAACGCAGTCATGACTTGGCCTTGAGGAATCCCAGGAGGCAGGAAGCCAATGTATTTTTTTGTTGCCTCTCTTGTTTGGGGTTTTTTTTTCTCCTGTAGTCATGGCAGCTTATGGTCATGAATCCTTGGTTCCTTCAAATGGCTGACCATTTCCCGAATCATACATTAACGTCCAGCTCTGGAGCTAGCCCAGATGGAGAATGTAGCTTTGTACTAGAAAGCTCACACTCCAGGAATGGTGTCACATCCTCTTCTGGGATTCTTTGCAGCATCTGGACCTTCCTGTTGAAAAGGTTTCGGAGTTCCTCTGCCCATCTCAAATCACAATAGCAGTTATATAGCCCTCAGGCGAGGAAACCTTCATTGTACATCCTCCTCGGACAATGGTAGATTGTGTCTGA